GCCCAGCCCAGCCCAGCCCAGCCTCTCCAGCTTGCAACCTCGTTGTATGCAGTAACTCTATAACAGCATGTCCCCAGGCGCCTGGTCGTTGCGAGAGAGCTGCCAATCATCGCAGCCACCGTTGGCAGACGTTGGCAAGAGCCGTGTCTCGCCGAGCTCTGTGTTGACGACGGTGTAGGCTTTCACGTCCTTGTCGTAGGACAGCTTCCAGGGTCCCTGCACGTGGCCGCGTGCAGTGAACTACAGTCTCTCTTTAGTTTGTCTTGTTGTTTTAGGTAGAATGCAGCAATCAGATGTCTCCCAACTACTGCGGTCTACATGTCCTTTCTGTTCGACACTCCCCCCAAACCCTAAACGGCACCACCCAAGCATCACAAGGCAGTGCGCTGATGCATGGGTTGTAAAACTGCAACACTTGATCCACCGCGAGTGCAGCCGCTGGTCTACTTCCGGATAATTAAATTTGGTACATTGGTCTCTGGGTGTGCTTCGCTCAGGCAAGCTTACCCCCACATCGGCGTGCCTGCTGTGCGTCAGCCTCGTCCTCGCTGTCGGAAGGAAAGTCGGGCTGCTGCTTGCGCTTGCTTCCTGGACCGAGACAGGACTGGTTTGATGGGGTTCGTGGGGGCGATCTACATGGCCTCTCGGGCTGGGCCCCTCAATCGTGGGGGGCGCAGCATTGCCTGGCCCGCCTGGCGGGGCGGCATTTGGAGCAGGAGTGGCTGGAGCACATCAGGCCTCCAAGTCCGGCGCCACCAGCAAGCCTCAACTTCAAGTCGTTCATCTGCCGCTCGAGATCCTCGTACTTGAGCTTCTCCGCAGCGCCCGGAACCGAAGAAGCCGCGGAGGAAAGTGCCGTGTCAGACGGCACCCTTGTGCTGCCAGGGGCAGACACTCCACCGAGCTGAGTGAACCCTTCGAACCCGCGCAGCTTTTCCTTCTGGTAGTTGCCGTAGGCTTCGGGCAAGAGCTGGGCGAAGGCAGGGGTGGCAAGGATGCTGGACAGCGTCATGGACTTGACATCCACCTTTGCACCCAGCTGGCAGTCACAGTACAGCTTCGGTGCGTTGAACCGGCTGTTGCCCTTCTCCCTGAGGATGCAGCGCTTCGTGCTTAACTCCACCTGCAACTCCCACTTGTGCTCCGTAGGAAGCTCTTTCTCCTCGACTGTGTTCTGCAAGTACTGCTTTCCATCAGCTGCTTCTACGATCGTGTAGCAGTCTTGTCCGGAGAAGACCATGTGCACCATCACGTCGATGGTGGCGAGGTCCAGGAGATCACCTGGGCGGCCTTTCTTGTTGTAGAGACCCAGGAGATCGTTTTCGAGAGTCTTCGCGTTCTTCCTTAGTGATTGGGAGTCAAGGCCCTGATGAGGTTTCCAACTTTACTCTCGAGACTCTGCAGTGGCTACAAAGTAAGCAAACAACCGTGGCAGACAGCCTGCAATAGACCCGAGCATGAAAACTAGAGACAGGGAGCTCCGTGACGGGGCTAGACTCGTCCTTGTCGAAGTAGAGCCACAGCAGCGGGAAGAGCCGGTGCGTGGCCACGCCCTCCAGCTCCTGCTTCACGCCCTTGTCCTGAGCTACAACGTTTTCAGTGGCATCACTCGAGAGCAAAGGGGTTGTGTTGGACAAATGAGGCCGAGCATCACCGCAGTAGTCGATCAAACGATGCAGAACGTAGTCCTCAGAGGCACTTATTATCTAATGAGCAAGTCTTACGTGGGTATGTATATATATATATATATATAACATAGCTACGACTGGGCTAGCTCTTTCGTGAGGTCTGAGCCGAGGACGGCCATGTTCCCCCACTTCGTCGCCACGATGTTGTCTGTTTGACGCTTGCGAGGGCCGCCGCCGCCGGAACTGACTCTGCCGCTGTTGCTGGGGGGGCGGCGTTGCTGGCCTCTGCCGCCGCCGCCGCCGCTCATGTTATTCTGCACGATCTCCTGCAACTGAGCGATCTGCTCACGCAAACCGCCATCGTCGCCGGAGTTGCGGGAACCCGGAGCAGCCCGGGCATTTCCAACAACAGGCAAGGGCTGGTTGCTGGCCATGATAGCAATCCAGCGCAGGGGAGAAAAGGATACCTGGGGCGGGCCTTAGAAGAGCCGGAGACACTGATGAAGAGTCGGTCTGCAGAACAGACAGCAACGAAAGCACGAGGGGTGTGCCAGCACAGCTGCCTCAACACGCACATACACGCACCCTGCCACGCATGCTGCCATCAACAAAATGACCCGTCTGTACAGACCTAGACACGCACAGGTTTTCAGGCCAAGCGTTGGATGCTTCAGGTCCGGGGCAGGGGCCCTCTACAGCTCGTCTTGCACGAGCTCTCTGTGCTCAGTCACCGCAACGCCGGCTGAAGCCAAAGCAAGACAGGGCCACCATGTGAATTATGGTGGCCGTGTTGAAAGACATGCAATTTCCTGCAAACTGGGCCGCTCGTTTAGGGTCGCGGACGGCTACAGGGGGGACCCCCAGAGCCTCAGCCATGCAGGTGCGGACCGGAAAGCCAAGTGTCGACAGCCTCAGTTGCACACACACACACACACAAGTGCCATGATCCCCACCCTCTGGACCCCCGCAGAACAAAAAACTTCCTGAGTACATGTCAAGCACAACACAACATGCGCACTGAGCCGCCTCTCTGCTGCTGTCAGCCAACGGGACACTGCTGGGAACCACAGCTTCCCCGTGTTCCTCCTCAGAGTCGGTATCTTGCCTGACGCTGCGCTCCACTTACCGAAGTTGGGGTTGTCCCCCAAGAAGTAGCACAGGTCACGGTCGCTCTCGGGGCTCCTTTTGAACTTGGACCAGTAGCGCTTGTTCAGCACTTCCACGCATCGCTGTTCGCGCTGGTTCAGGATGTACTGCAGGTTAGTGGTGCCAGGTCGGAAAGTGATCCCACGAGTGCGACACGCTTCTTGGGCCTCCAGCAGGATCTCCAAATCCGAGGCTGTCAGGAAGTCTCTTGGCCGTGTCACCGCAGTGGCTTGCAGCTCTGAGGCAATGCAGTCAGTCAGGAGCACGGGGCAGTGGAGCAGTTTGTAAGCCCCCTTGCGCGCGAAAATGACATAGGTTCGCGCTCGGCTCGTTCCCCCAAGACCCGACTCCGGCATGTCCATGAAGATTTGCCAGTGATCGTAGGCATCGCTCAGCAGGCCCACCACGGTCTCGAGATCCATGTCCTGGGCAATCCAGGGCCAGGTTGGGGGGTCACAATCAGGAATGGGCCAGGGCCGGCTTCCTATAGTGATACGAAACCCGGACACCTACATGACCATCGTGCCGAGTCTCGGGGACGTTCTCCAGGACTGCTAAGAGGACTCCATAGACACGGAGGCGCAGGGCCCAGACTATGAACACTGGCCCCGTGGGTCCCTCCGAGAACTGACGTCCACGCTTCACTCTGGAATTGTCCGTGCACGGCAAACCCGAGAAGTCGTAGTCCACCATGGCCACTGGACAAGTGCACCCGTGAGTGACACAAGGCTGGAAAACATCCAGTTGCTGTTTGAAGATCTGGGCTTTCTTATCCTGGAAGCAGTCGCAGACCTCCCATGAAGAGGGATGCACCAAAGCGAGGATATTCTCAAAAACACACGGGGGCTCGTGCAAGGAACCCGTCACAGCATTGCACCAAGCATGGTGTTCACGAATCACACCGTGGCATTGCTTGTTGATCTCCTGAGATGCAAAAATGCTGCAACGCAAGAACCAGAATCTGCGACTGCATTCATGACTGTGAGAGTCGTTGCTTCGGATCTAATATAAGCCAAGCACCCAGGCACAACAGCAGCGAAGATCGATCCGTCGGTCCAGCGCACGGCTCCCGCTGACCAGCTTTGTGGCTGTAGCTAAGGCCATCTCGGCTGTGTAGATGCCCGTGCACATGGAGCTGCACCGCCGAAAGGTAGTCCACGCAGAGTCCTCGAGAAGCCCAGAGGCACAAGCAACTGCACCGCACGCACAAACACAAACAACATCCTTCAGGTTGTCTCCCAGCGTTGTCTGCACTATCTTCCACGCCCGAAGCGCTGCAGTAGACGCCCAGGTCAAGGCCAGGTGCTCCTGGTCGAGAGACAGACAGAAAGACAGAAAGACAGAAAGAGACAGAGAGACAGGAGAGGGAGAGAGAGAGAGAGAGAGAGGTAGGTCGGTCGGTCCTGGGGGTCCGACTTCTCGCACACTGCGAGGGCATCCGAAAGTTGCTCCGTGTTGTAGCCACTGAACCCAGAGAAACGAGACATGGCGCACCAGAAGGAGTGCAACCAGGATACCCCACAGTGAAGTCCTAAACAGACACTTGCTGGGGATCCCTTGCAGTATGCTAGTAGGTAAACACTCAATCAGGCAGATGCGCTTGTCAGCACGTAGCCTATGGCATAGTACTGTGGCTTCGGTCTGCGAATCAGCACGCTTCGAGCAATCAGTGTGGACAACGCAAAAGCTGAAGGCAACAACACACCACAAGGGCAACGTCTCTCCAGCAATCTGGGCAACCAGCCAGCGGAGGCCCCATGGAACCGAGATTGATCCAGGGACCTCATTCGACAGCACGCGCAGCAGTCTTCTTGTTAATCTCAGCACGCAGACATCATGGACTGTAGATGAAGCGAAGCCAAGCGGCAGTAAGTCAAGAAAAGCTCCGTGGGAACTTTGGCCACGCAGGATCCGTCGAAGTACGTCTAAGTGCGATGAGGAACATGTTTTGTTAGTTTGAAGGGCAAGCTTCCGCGTCCCGCACTTAATACTAAGGGCGAGACATGGAAAACATTCTGGTTGCTGAACTCTGCCAATGTCCTCGCACGGTACGCGGCCTGTCCAGGCCACACCGTAATGATTAAAACTGGAACACATCAGGAACTCTCCAGGCCCGGCCATCTCTTCCATGCAAAGCTGCATGTGCTTCGCCTTCTTGTCCCGAAATGTGACCGCTTGCGAAAGCAACATGACCTTTAGCAGAAGCAGGCTGTAGGACTCTGAGACAAGAAAGCCTATTACGCAAGAGGTTGTCAAAGCCTCGAGTACATGAAGAAGTTTACTGCAAATCCTGACCGTCAAGTGCTTTCCCATCACGAAGCTCCTTCATGCCATCATGGACGTCTGCAAAAGTCAGCCGCTTCTTGGCTGACAGGCGAGAGATGCCTGTCTGCAAAACCTCCAGGAAGCCATCCGAGTCCTGCAAGGAAAGGAAGAGAGCCCACTGAAGCAGTGCATCCCTAAGAGAGCCCATGGTAAGTCAAGAGCACACGGTCCAGCAGCTGCGCAAACTGGCGCAGGATAGACAGACCCAGAAGCTGAAGTCTAGCATGTAGCTCAGGCACATGTTCAAGATGGGGACGTGGCCTGCGCACGGATGCATTTACTGCGCACCAGTCTGCGGCACCGTCTGCGACAACAAAACAAATACCGGCTGTCCTGAGGGCAAAGCAGGCAACGTCTATCACATGTGGCCGCGAGATTGAACTGGTGAGCTTCTCGCCAGTCTGCCCTTCCTTAGATGCTGCCCTGATTCCCAAGACAGGCTGCTGCGCTCACCGAGATATCGTCTTTGCAAGACACACTTGCTGCTGCCACAAGTCCTGCAACTCATCCCATTCAGATTTTAAGAGAAATATTTGTCTGGACCACAGGCCACTGTCACGGGCAGGAATGAACGAGTCCAGCGGTAGATGACCTGTAGTAGAAAGCCTGACAACTTTCCAATCTTCATCCTCTAGCCCAAAGACATGCAGCTGCTGATTCTCGAACAACGGCTGCAACAGCTGAGTCAAAGAGTCGGCTGCGCTTGCAACAGAGTCCAGCTTTCTGTCACCGCCCAGGCCCCAAGCAAACGAAGCCATCATCATGGATGTTGGAATGGTGTTTTCCAAAAGAACCCCGCTGTTGTCGGGTGTTGGCTTGTCTAGAAGAGTCGGAACCTGAGATGCAGTGCAACCGGGAGCGCATCATGCTGGAAAAAATTCCAAACGAGCGGCTACTGAAGGCACTAAGGTCGAGCAGCTGGTTGTCTGGGAAACATCATCTGGTGCCACTGTCGGATCTGAGGCAACTGTTTTCGGAACCGTTTGATGGCATCCTTGCCGGGTACTGCCAGAGGCTGTGCGTACAGCAAAGGCATCATTGGCCGAAGTGCCCATTCCCTGGGTCGGCCCTGCAATGCAGAAAGGAAAACGAGAAGGCTACCTCAGTGAGACTCTAAGGCAACGCAACCGGAAGGCCTGCAGATGGTAGATCACCTGCCGAAGGCCACGTACATCCAAAAATCCTGAACTCAGCTTCATGCTCAGGATAATGCTTTTGTAGAAATCCAATGACGCTCAAAAAGCAAACCTGGCAATGAAACCGCTTGAAAACTGAGCCCCCATCGCTGTCCCAGAAGAACTGGCCGTGTAGCTGCAGCTTCACGATGGACATTCATGGCGACGCACGTTTTATTACCCGAGTCTCTCTCCTGTTCCTTGCCTGATTCCAACACTTGTACAAACTCCAACACGAATGTTATGTTGCCAAGTCAACAACCTAAGACGTGAAAACTCACTGATGTCTTGCCAACTGTGTCCTGATCCTCGCCGTCCACGCAGGATGAATCGAAGCGACCAAGGCATTCAATGTCGTCCAAAAGAACAAACAACCCTTTCTTATCCCAGTCTTATTCTGCCCTTAAATATAAGCATAGGATAATCCCAGAATAAGCCTAGACCCCCCGCC